CCCAGATGTTTTAATATATGCGTCTATTTGTTAGCAAAGGCTGTAGGAAAGTATAGTTTGTCTTTATTTAGAAAATATAGACGTGCTTGTTAAGTTTCCTGTTGTTGACCCTGAGGTTCTGGCGCCTATTTACTTTTGGCTATCTTTCAGTGTACATTGGTTACTGCCTGGCCACACTTATAGAAATTCTCTGGCTATGCCTCTGCTAGATAAATATTCCCTTAACCCATAAATATAATCAGGGGTGGGGGGGAATTTTGTTCCATTGTTCAAAGCACAAAGCATGTTTTGTAAAGGGAAATAAAAAAAAAATGCAATACCGTAAAAATGTCAAAGAAATGTTTTAAGCAATGACAGACTGGCGACCTGTCCAGGGTGTACCCCACCATTCCCCTTAGCCTGCATGAGGTAGGCACCATTATCAAAACGACCCTGATGGAATAACCAGTAGAAAATGGATGCTTTATTTTTCTGAGATTTTATGTCTTTTTTTTTTCTTCTTTTTTTTACAGATTTTATATATTCTAATTATTTTTTTCAAATTTTATATTTTCATTATTATCCAAATTACTTTTTTTTTTTGTAGGGGAAGTTTTACAAATTGCACTATTTCAAAATTGCGTTTCAGAGATAATAGTCTCTTTACTCCAAGTCCATTACAACTGCTTGCTGTTGTTGAACATGCAACGTTGTTGTTAGAGTCCATTAGTTAGACTAGTTGAAATGCTTTCCAGTCTTCTTTAAATCTCTGTTTGCTGTTATGGTCACAAAGTCTGGCAAAGAGACACTGGAGTCTGAGATATGATTCTGCAGCCAAGTTTCAGTGAAACACAATATGCTGCATTGCTGATATTCCACTGGGTCCTTGTTGGGCTTGGAGGTCTTCTAAATTGTTTCCAAAAGATCTCACGTTGCCCTTAATGATTGTTTGAAGAGATGGCTTAAATGTCTTCTTCCTCTCTCTTCTCTTTGCTCCTGCTCTGCATCCCTGGCATCTCCTTTTCAAATCAGCTAATAATTGCAGAAGTAGTCGAAGTTTTATTTTTAGTTTTAGAGATGTTAATGAGCTGCTCACGGGTGTAAAACAAAAAAAAAAAAATCAATTTGCTATGATTTCTTTGATATTGAAAAAGTAGCCAAAAATAAAAAATCAGTTAAAATCCTCCCAGGTACGCAGAATCTTTCCAAAAAATCCTGGCTCCAGGTGGTAATCTGGATCATCATCAAAATGTAATAAGTAGTTTCTAGTCACAATACAAAACTTCCCTGAAAATTTCAGCAAAATCCGTCCATAACCTTTTTAGTTATTTTGAAAAAAAAAACGAACAGATGAAGCAACGGTGATTAAAACGCAACCTCCTTGGCAGAAGTAATTATATAATTTGTAAAAGATCTGAAAAACAAATTCAAAAATATTAAATATGTACAACAACCATTTAAAAATAACAACAGTTAAAAAAAATACAATTTTCAGAAAAAATACTTTTGAAAAAAATGAAATCCAAAAAAAAGAAACATTTTTGAAAAAAATAAAATTTGCAAAACTACTCAATACCTTTTACTGGAAACATAAGTTCAATTTGTTGATTGTTTTTTTTTTGTTTTTTAAATAAAATGTAAGAAAAGTGCTTTTTTTGGATTTCCATTTAAAAAATGTGCTTTTTGCTTGCGAAAAAAATCCAAACAAAATTCCCTCCATAGATATCGATTTCAATTTAAAGAATAGATTCAATTGCGATTTAGAAAAAAATCTTTTTTGATGCGACTCGAATCTCAAATTAATTTACTTGTATTCAAAAAAAAATTTTCAAACACTTATTAGAATTACATGAGCTTGTAGTTATTCCACATTCTTTTATCATATTTACATTTAACAGCAAACTAATAAAGTAGTTGTAGTTATTGGTCACTGTAAGGACAGTAGAAAATGCATTCATTTAAAAATCAATCTTTGTTTATATGAATTTGTCTTTAGGAATTAAAATGTGAGCGAAATCACAATAAAAAAAATATTTAATGTTTTATGATAAAGAGTTTCTCTGTACAATCTGAGCATGTTTTTTTTTATATATATATAACTGTATTGTTATATAAATATATATGTTTCCAGTTTTGACTGCTTCATTATAAACAGTCTTTTCATCTAAAATCTATATTTCCCATGCAGACAAAGGAATGGGAGGTGAAGGATAAAGCTACAGAGAACATTACTCGAGTCCTCCGGCTGGGCCAGGCCTTGTTAAAGGTGTCAGGTTTTGTTATTTCTACATTCTGCTCTCTCCTGTGCACATCTGTTTTCTAACCTACAGGCTTGATTTACAGTGCTTTGCCAAAGTGTTCAGCGTCCTTTAACTTTTTGACCTTTTGCCATATCTCAGGCTTCAAACATAAAGATATAACATTGTAGCTTTTTGTGAAGAATCAACAAGATGGACACAATCATGAAGTGGAACAAAAAATGTAGTTAATACTTTGTAGCGTTACCTTTTGTTGCGATTGCCTCTTGGAATATGTCTTGATTAGTTGTGCACATCGAGAAACAGATTTTTGCCCAATCGTCAGCTGGAGCTCAGTGAGGTTGGATGGAGAGTGTTTGTGAACAGCAGTTTTCAGTTCTTTACAGATTTTTGGTTGGGTTCCAGTCTGGAATTTGACTTGGCCATTCTAACACCTGGATATGTTTATTTGTGAGCCATTCATTGTAAATTTAGCTTTGTGTTTTAGATCATCGTCTTGTTGAAAGATGCATTTCCGTCCCAGTCTTTTGCAGACTGGGACGGTTTTCTTCCAGAATGCTCCTGTATTTGGCCATATCCATCTTCTTATCACTTTTTAACAATTTCCCTACCCTTGCTAAACAAAAGCAGGC